TGCGAATGATCCATTAGTTCTGTTCTTGAATGGAGGTCCAGGATGTTCATCACTTCAAGGATTGTTTCTGGAGATGGGACCACTGAGGTTTGTCTTTTTCACTACTAACAAAAAAAAGGATTCCAGGTCGAAGTGGCCATTCGAAATAATGTGTATATCGACTTGTATGCCTTTGGACGGTAGTTGAGAATTCGTCTCCCTTATCTGCTGCGGACCTCTTTCAACAAAGTTGCAAAAATTTTCAAGAAAAACAGACTCAAATGCGAAACCAAATTTGAGCGTGAAGTTGCTTCCTAGTCCTAGTTTGCAAGACAAATTTCATCGAATTACTAGCGAGTTTAAAAGATAAGGCCAACTTGAGTTACGGTGCCACATTAGCAGCTACCTTAGCCTCAAGAGTAAAGTGTTTTCGTGAAAATGCGTCCCTGAGAAAAGCATCCGTGCCCTCTCGTTCAGGAAGGTTTGCAGCAGTTAGCGAGGACGCGATTGCAATCACCCTCAAGACACAACATACGGATATACAACTCATTTCAGACGGCTAGTTCGGCCCAAGATCCTTCCCTTACTGGTTTCCCGACGAATAAGTCAATCCATGAACGAATTTTAGGGTCAATAACTATGGCGAAACTGTTACCAGAAATCCATGGACCTGGAATCGCGTGAGTTTACTTGAGTGAATTGCTTTTTACGTTATGTGTTAGTTTGCTTGAGGGAATTTTCAGCGGGGGTTGGTCGTTGGAGGGAGAGGGAAAAAGAGATTGTCATTGGCGTGGGGGAAAAAATTTTTTGATAGTTGCGTTTTCCTGTTTCGCGCTTCGGAATACTCGTATCGGAAAGGGGAGTAACATTGCTCGTCCCCTCCCTTGGATGGGCTGGGGTCGTATCTCACCCGTGGAAATTTCTTTCGGTTGTTAACTTTTCGCGGTATATCCCGTTTTACATATGCTATATCGCCGCCTGCTCCCTGCTCGGGTATTAATTTTTCAGAGGAAACTGGGTACTTTTTTGGAGAACTGTAAAAGAATTTGGGAAAAGTAGAAAATGCTAGGTGCCACGGTGGAGATGAGGTCGTACCGGAGGAGAAAAATTGAGGACAGGGCACATCATTGGTTGGGGATTTTAGTCGAGTCTGTACGACCCCCCCCCTTTTTTGGGAGTTGGTACGACCCCCCCCCCCCTCCAGCCCTCTGTCCTTCCTCATCGAATCGAGCCGTCGAGCGGGGGCATATAGTAGGCATGAAACAGGAAAATCACGAAA